ACAGGAGATTGAAACGCTATGATATTTTGAATATTAATGGTGAAGAAAAACTAATTGTTCCTTTATCTGAAGATAAAACAACTTTCCGCTACTTTGTAGCAAATGAAAATTTATTTCATGTACTGCATGAAGCTCATATCAGTCTCGGACATGGAGGAAAACACAGAATGATTACGAAAATAAAAAAGAAATATGCTAATGTTACGCAAGAAGCAATTTTGTTATTTTTAAAATTCTGTGTTCCATGTCAGGCGAAATGGGCTTCCAGAAGAAAAGCAGTAGAGAAACCTATGATAGCCTTAGAAAGGAATAATCGGTGTCAAGTTGATTTAATAGATATGCAAGCCCAGGCAGATGGGGATTACCGTTTTATTTTAGTATATCAAGATCTTTCAACGAAATTCGTACAGTTAAGATCCCTCACCTCAAAAAGAGATGAAGAAGTTGTGGAAAATCTTTTAAATATTTTTTGTATTTTTGGAGCTCCTTCTGTTCTCCAATATAATAACGGGGGAGAAATTGATAATCAGATTATTGAATCTCTGAAAAAAACATGGAATTCTTTGACCATAGTTCTTGGAAAGCCTTGCCATAACCAGAGTCAAGGAAGTGTCGAACAGGAAAATCGGGATATTCAAAATATGCTTGCGACTTGGATGAAAATGGAAGGTGTAAGTGCATGGTCACAGGGTGTGAAGTACATTCAATTGATGAAGAACAATGCTTATCACGATGGTATAAAGAGAACACCATACCAAGCCATGTTTGGTTATGACATGAAAGTAGGCTTGAGTTTATTTGCGCTTCCAAGTGAAGTCGTGGTGAAGTTAAAAAAAGATGATGAGGTAGATGAAATATTAAATAAAATGCCAAAGAAACACGATGTCAGTTCAGAACATCTAAATGAACACAGCATAGAAACACTTAAAGAAAATGATGAGCTTGCTGTCAAGTCGGAACAGTTATCTCATCAGCCTGAAAATGATAGAGAAAGGGTCTGTGGTGTGTGTAACGAACTATCAAGTGATGATTTTACTGTGTGTAACTCCTGTAAGACTTTCATTCACGTAACATGTGGCATTGGAAATGTACTTAAAGAAGAGAGTGACAATTTTGGTGTCATTTGCCCCCTGTGTAGAAAGAAGAAATGTATTGCTAACAATCAAAATCAGACAAGAGAGTCTTTGATTGTTCTGGCTGAGGAGACGAAATCATCGTCCACAAGATCAAAACCGTGAATATTAGTGATACTGAAAGTGTTTCAGTACCAGATCTTGATGGCTTGAAAGTGGATCCGAAACATATTTTATTTTCTGTGATTTCCATTGAAGATGGACAGTTTTGCAAGTTGGGTAACATCAGTGGGATTTCCACAACTAAGAAGTCAGTTTTCTGATATTTTAGTTATGATGACACGTATAGTGAGATAAGACACTTTGGGATATTGCTTCAAAAAACTCTGTCTCATTTGGTCAAGAGAAAAAAAAAAAGTTTTTGCAACAGAAAATGTCATACAAGAAAATGTCTTTAAAGAATTAATGGTATTCTTTGTGATTGAAAATGTCTTTCTAGTTGGTCATGCTCAAAGAAAGAGTGAGTTCAAATAGAAGTAAATACCATTTAATATTAGCTTTGTAATTTTCTAAAACCGTAAAATTTCTAGAAAAGAAGAAAAAGTTTTACATAAGAAATTAAAAGACCCAATAAAATGAAATATAATCATAGACTGATAGTATTGTAATTGTTGTTCACATAACTTCATATATAGTTTATAATTATATTGGTTGTATTTCAGTGTATAATTGATATGGGTTGGATGTATTGTAAATTGATTTCACAGAGTTTGAACTTTGTGTTTATAAAAACTGAGAAACAAGTAAGAGACTGAACATATTTTGTTGCAAATAAATTTGCTTATGGAAAATTATTTCTGTTTATTCCATGTTCCCACTTAACCAAATTAGCTGTGACAAACACTGTTGTTCAAATTAAATATACCATGATTTGCTGAGTGATCAACTAGATGAGAGTTTCCAGTCTGAAGCTTCATTTTCAAAATTTAAGTCAAAACAAATCTCTGATTGGATAAATGTATCCCGTTTAATCAAATGTCAATTTACGATATGTTTAAATTGGAGTAAATTTATTCGTAAATAAATGTGAAGGTTTCTGTTGTTAATTCTAGTCAATCTTTTAAATTAACTAACTACATAATTTTTGGGGTTATTTAAAACTTTTGTTAAGTGAAGAATATGAAACACCTACTTTTATTGAAACTCAGAGCGAATTCACTTTTGTTCAGCTGAAACACAGTTCTCAAATTGGGAGCTTCAATATAAAAAATTAATATGTAATGAAGCTCTTGATTGGATGACTACATCTCATCTAATTGCTTACAATACTAATCAAAGTATATGGAAATTGTTTAAACCGGTAGTTTGCCCTGATCAGTCAAAGGGAAAAAGCGCTTTGGAGGGGGTCATACAGCTTGGACTCATTTATTTTGTGTATTTCCAATTTCATTGTAAGTAAGAAACAGTTTTTATTATCATTTGAAAAATTTATAATTGGGTCTACATAGGTTAAAGGTTCTATATGATCGATCATTTTAGAGATCAGCACGGGAATTAGATACAAAGTGTATCGTGTCTGATAGATGCAGTTTTGATAGTTGGGTTGTTCATAATTTAGCATTAAGGTAAGATTTATTATGTGATTGAGACATGTTAGGAAATAAACGTGCATTGTAACAGTGTGTTGGAAGTTTTCCAAAGATGGATAATACTTGTGCAGGTTGCAATATGTAAGTTATGTATTTATAAGTCTTCATTTAACTTTCACAAATGCGAGGTTTGTGCCATGTAACATTACTAGTTTCAAAATAGCAGTTTTCATGTAATTTTTAGGATTTTTAGGAAATTTTTTATGACAAATACGAAAATATGACATTTATCGCCGCCCAAAGTATATTTTCTCAATTTTTCGGTAATGAATTTTCTCCTAATGGTAAAACTGATACTGACGTTAAGAATGTCATAGAACGGTATAACCTTAGGGTAAGATTTTTTGTATATATAACTTATGCTACAACAAAACATACTTACTCGCATTGGTTCGAAATTTGCAATTTTCGAAAATTTATAGAGCCCCAAAATGAAATCCGCCCATTCTTTTAAGCATCTCCTTTTCTATACGTGGAAACGAGTTAATGAAAAAATTGGAACTTTTTTTTGAGAAAAAAATGTTAATTTTTGAATTGCTTATACTTCACGCCAAATTGCATAGAAACTGCTCATATTTTCGAAAAATCGAACTTATCTGAAGATCTGTCTTCAAGGAACAGATATTATTAAAAAAAGAAACTCTATCTACAAAATTATAGTTGTAGAAAGACGCTAAAAAATTGCTTTTGCAATTTTCAAAAAAATATGGGATTTTAACGAACGTGAGATCTGCGCCATTGTCTTAACCGTCCTTTACGCTATCTGAAGACAAAGTTGGATAAACAATTTAGTGCCCTTTTACTGCCAAATTTTGAAAAAGGTTTTGAGGCTTCATGTAAAGAACCCTAAAAAATTACAATATGCATATTTGAAATTCCCAAAGCCTCGAGTTCATTCAGATCGATAGGGGAATATCGATTTTGAAGAAAATTGGCTGACCGGTTTAGGCGCAAGCGTTGACCACATGCAGACTGATGGACAGAGACGTTTTGCAGTCAGTCAGTCAGTTTTTCGGTGCCAAGGACCCACAAAACATGAATTCTGTTTGTACCACGTTTTGGAGGGTTTCCCCCTATATCTAGCTACAGTATTATCCATCTTTTCTTTACCGGGATACGACAAGAGGTTTTCTGCCGAAAATTCGCCGCTTTCCGGCACATGAACAGGGGGCAACACAATTTGCGGGCCATCTTATTCTTTCCTTCTCCGATATTCTCCTCTCTCCACTTAAAGACAATTGTTTTGTTAAAAGAAAGTCATTTGAAGTACTTCTACTCACAAATGCTCTAACGTTTACCCATCGCTTGGAATGTGCATATTACCGTCGTTAGAGATATTACAAAAACAACAACAAAAAACATGAGAGTAATTAAAAACAACAAAAGAATTTAGCAAAATTCTTTTGTCATCTTCGGCAGTGTGTTTAGCACTATCCGTTCGAAAAGTGCAAAGAAAAAAGTTGGAGCCGTTTTTGAGAAAATTGCGTTTGAGCTATTCTGAAAATGCGGAATTTTGAGTTTATTTTTACAGAAACTTTTGAATTTTCGTGAAACTTTAAAAGACATGGCAGAGCATCGCCACCTACTGTAATTAAGTATACACTACACACACGGGGCTAGTCTAACTCAAGTTAGACATAGAAGTTACAATAGTCCTCTCATAAATGTATTAACAAAAAGGGAAAGTAAGGAAACGTTTCACATTAAATAAATGTATTTAAAAATGTTTTACAAAGATTTACACCTTTATTTCTTGAAAAATCAATTATTTTGGCAGAGTCAATACGGTTTAAAAATTCGTGCTGAAGATCCTATTTACAAAATGGCCCAATTATTTAGTCTTTCTTCTCCCATTGTTTTCTTGAAATAACTTTTACTCTCTTTAATACTGAAAATAGACTCTCCTGACGCATGAAATAAAGGAATTATTCGAAACATTATGAGCAATATTTCAATGTTCAGTTATGGTCAAAGTATTTCCTTGTCGGGTCGATACGTGCGATAATAGACATGCTTAGAGCCCTGGAAAGTGTAAGAGCTTCGGTATCAAATAAGTTATTTATGCACCGAAAGCGTTACAAGGGTTCGAATGGTCGAGTGGCGACTAAAAGCCCGAGGGTAGTTAGCCCGAGATCATGAAAAACAGTGAACTAAGTAACTAGATGTTGACTCGGTTAGCCTTTACGTATT